ATGACCAATACAATTACACTGAGGTTTTTTTTTTTTTTTATTCTCTCTGTCCAGAGCTGTGGCACTGAACAGTCTTATAATTAGATGACAAAACTGACAGGCAGCTCCAGCGAAACGGCCTGTCCTTGCGTTTTGCAGAAGCTCCCCAAGTGTTCTGCACCAATAATTACTAATCAAGTTATTTCTTGCAGTATTAAAAAGACGTTTGGCAGACAATTTGCCCATAACAGCAGGGGCCCAGTGCTGGCGAGCAGCCATGGCCCTGCAGAGCCCAGAGGCTCTGGGATGGGTTCAGCCCACTCCATCCTCTCTGGTATTCACCCCTCACCGCACCCACAGGTGCCAAAAAATCCTCAAGAACGGCTCAGGTCTGCTGCTTTTATCTCAGGCCTGAAGCAGGAGATTTGCACCCAAAGGCTAAGGGTCATTTAAATATTGAGGAGTCTCTCATTTGGGTAAATTGACCCCAAAACCCTCTAGGAGCCACCACCCAGGTGCTGCTGGGTCTCTCCTGCACATCACGGAGGTGCTGCCCTCATGCCTTAGCCTTCAGGTGGTTTAGTTTACTCCTGACTGACAGCAGCATTGCTGAACAAAATCCATCCCAGTTTCCCCACTGCTGGACTGACAGGCAGCTCAAAGGTGCTCTCACGCGTCAGAGGGCTTTATCTCGCTCTATTCAGCTCAGAAAGCAGAACAAAATCACAGGTTTAAGCAGAAAGGAAACATCAGCGCTGGTTAATGACAGCCTCTGGATGTGGCCCCAGTGCCACTTCAGGCTGCCAGGCACCGAGGCCACCCAGAACCCAACCTTTAACCAAACCCTCATCATTGTGTGACCATTTCCCGCAGCATCGTGCAGCAGAATTCATCAGTCCTGTGTCCCCAGGGGTACAGACATGTCACCTCGCTGCCCATGGGTACACAGCCAGGCCCCGTGCTGGTAGCAGCAAAATCTCCCCGTCCCCATGAGGAGATGCGACCAAATCTCATCCCAGATGCTCGCAGCTGATGCTGCTCTCATGTCCTGGCTCCACAGCACTGGAATGATGTCATCCATCTGCATTTCCTAAGACTTCTCGGGGAAAAAACAAAGTCTGTAATTTGTCATTATAATACAGACCTGGAGAACAGCTGAACAAACCGCTAATATTGAGCAAACAAACAAACAGAAGCCAATAACGGCTCCTATCGAGCAGAGGCCCACAGCTGATGGATGACCTGTAGCAATGCGGGAGAATTATTTGTGAATTGCTATCGATTTCCAAAATCAAAATGTAAATTTTGCCTCAACGTTGAAGTATCAGGGGAAGTTTTTGGCTTTTAGAAACACTTTTTTTCTCCCTGTGACTTTTTCCCTGTAAGGGGGGATGACATTCACTCCAGCTAAGCCCACGTTATTCTCACTTGGAGGAAGCTGGAAGTATTTTGGAGCCTGGCCTGGGTGTGAACATCCCAGGGAGTCCTCAGCATCCTTCCATGGTGCTGAAACACTGATGTGGAGGCAGAACACGCAAGAGAAAGGACAAAGGCTTGGCATAGCATCAGGACAAACCCTGAGAGCCACCACCACCAGCAGCAGGAAGGCTCCCAGGCCCTTGCTCCATTTCAGCACAGCTGATCATGGGGTGCACCAATTGTCCTTCCTGTGGCTCTGCCTGAGATCCTGACAGACATTTCTGCACTCCATCTGTCCCAAAACGCCCCAGAGCTGCTCAAGATTTCAAAACTAACCATGCTGAAACACCTGAAGCTATATCTTAGGCCCAGACAGATGCCCACCAACACTCCTGAAGGACCAAGACCTACCAGCCCCCAGTATTCAGCTCTCACCCATTTTACCCAAACCACCCTCACATGCAACCCAGGAGCTCTGCAGCTCCTGCCTGGCTGCCTCCAGCCCAGCATTTGGGCACGAGCTCAGCGTGTGGCTGTGAAATCTAAACCCAGGCGCGCGCCCCGAGCGGTTCCGTATCATTAAGGGAACATCTGAGCACCGCAAACAGCGCAGCATCCTCAGCGCCTCACCCATCGCCTCTCGCTAACTGCATTAGTCTTACTTCTGTGAACACAGTGTGCAGCAGCAGCCCAGTGCCTGCTAATGCCTGGCAATATGGAAATGTTAGAGACAACCTCTCCCCGTCCCAGTGGGGAAGAGCCACTGGTGCCACTGGGAGAGCCTGCCCGGTGCTGCAGAAGCAGCAGCCCAGGGTGGCATTTCCCACGTCAGCAAATGTCGCTGGCAGTCGGCACTGGTGCGTGCCCTGCTCTGCTTCCAGCAGCTCGGTATCCGCCTCCGTCCCCCGCCTTTTATCATTATCTAACCCATGACAAACCTATTACGATGCTAAAGATTGGAATTACTGTGATCTCAGGCAGATGCCCAGAAACTGGCCCAGAGATACGGCACTGCTTTGCACGAGGCAGTAATAAATTACTGAAGGTCACCTACGATTTATCACTGCTTCGGATTCCAGACAGTGACACTGCTTCACCCAGGGAAGCAGCCTTGTGGGTGCCAGAGCATCTGCTCGGGTCGAGCCTCTAACAGCGATGCTTTTGCTTCTGTTATTGGATTGGAAGCATCCCCAACAAGCACAGTGTCGGCGCATTTGAGCGATGCCTTTGCCTGAAGCCTCCTGCTCGCTGCCTTCACCATCTGCCTGGCGGCGAGCTCGGCACCGCCGGGCGAGGACACGCCATCAGCCGGTACAGCCCCAGCCACCCATCCCCTGCATCTCCTCCACCAGCCACTGCTGCCTCCCCTCCACGCTCCCATTCTGCTCCCCAGAGGTTGGGAGAGCCCGGAGGAGGCAGCAGGAGTCGAAGGCAGGGACACCGCAGAGACCCCATGGAGAGCTGCGACCTCCCTCCTCACAACAGGAAAAATAATCACCAGCAACACTTCAAAGTACACAAATAGTTGGTGAGCTGAGCTGCTTGCATTATTGAAGGCTGGTTCAGCTATTCAGGCACCTCAGGTGTTACTAGCAGGAATATTTCAGGCAAATAGAGCTCTGCTAACCCGCTGCTGGGAGAAAGAATCTAATGCAGGTAGTAAACCAGCTGCCTTTGAGTGCAGAGAAATTATTTGGAAAAACAAGCTCAGAGGCTGGTGAATCCCCCAAACGCATCCCTAGTGCAGGCAGGGTTTTTAGCACCAGGACAGGACATGCAGAAAAAAGGGAGCTGGGACTGATGACAGCTGGGATGTCTGTGGGACCCCAGCAGCAGCAGCGAGGGACTTGGACGACCCAGGGAAATTACAAAGAGCTCAAATATTCTTTTGCTGCAAGTGCAAGGGCTGGACAGCAGCACACCAGCTGCCCTGCCTGGCCAGCCCTGAGCCCAGAGCTGCTGCAGGGAGACACAAGATGCTTCCCCAGTCTGAGCCCTGCGACTCCCCAGGCTCAGTCCCAGCAGAGGCAAGCGCCTGCCTGGCTCCTGCAAGCACCAGAACCAGCTGCAGGTGTCAGCACTGTCAGAGGCAGCACAGCACTGCATTTCATCTTCAAAGAGCTTTACAACGCTAAGAAATTTAAGGCAGCACTGCCCGGGCAGAGCTTTTGTCCCTGCGGGGTCTAAGATACGGGGCTGGCAGCGCTGCTGGAGCACCTCGTGTTTGGGGCTGTGGATCACAGGCAGGGAGCTGCCAGGCTCTCAGCAGCAGGAGCTGCAGCAGCACTTCAGCAAGCACAGCCAATGCCGCTGCAAAAAGCTGCAAACCCCCAGGAGCACGGGCACACCACCGCTTACCAGCCTGCCTCCACCCGGGCCCATTGACTGGGAACAGGGGGGCATCAGCAGGGGCAAAACCCCAGGGCTGGGCAGGTTGGCAGGGGGACACTGCCTGGCTGTCCCGTGTGTCGGGCTGCTGGCAGCGGCTGTGTTTTATAAATCCCTTTCATCTCATCAGGGGTTGCTAAGTTTAACTCCCTGCACTTAGGTATGAAGGCAGGGGCCCATCCAGAAAGCAATTTGTGACTCCCAGAGCAGGCAGTCGTAACGTTTCCCATTAAAATGTAAATCTGGCTAAGTTTTCTGGCACCTCTTCTCCTTCCTTAAGGTAAAAAGAATATGAACTCGTATTATTTTTTCCATCAACGTTATCTTCCTCTCGGTTTTGCGCTAAGTAAAAAAGCTGCCTGATATACACCTACTGCAATTAAATTTGAATCAAGTCTGACAGCACAACAGGGATCCGGATTACAAGAGCTGTGCCGGCCTAATTGGCATCATTTCCACGAGGTTATTCGCAGAAGCATTGAGCAGGGAAGCACGAGCGGAGCCGCAGGCTCAGGCTCTGCGCTGGTGCTGCCCCTTCGGAGGAGGCTGGATGCTGCCTTTAGGTTTGCTGATCATCACAGACCTGCAGAGGGTGGGCGAGAGCCCCCCACCTCTTTAGACCAAGCACACAATTAAAGTGTCTGTCCTGCTCCCACTGCAGGTTTTTAAAAGATGAGCTTCCCTGATTAAAACCCAAAATCCCTCTAGACTCGCCACTTCTGCTCCCTTCAGGCACCTGGAAGCGGTCTCTCTGCGCCTCAAGAAACTTGTCAGAGACTGAAGGGTATTTAAAGGATGCGACTACAAACCAAGGGGAAAAAAAATGAAAATTACCTTCTGACAGCCAGCTACACCGGGGCCAGCAGGGACCCCGCTGCCCACCCTGGGGCTCCCTGCCCAGCACGGCTGCTTGACGTGGCTCGTCAAAGGCACGCTAGAGCAAGAGGCTGCAGAATTAATTAAGGGAGCGTGGTGAATTAATTATCATCTCCAGCTGCATTTCTACTGGGGATAATTTCAGGTGCAACGGTTTGAATGACACCGTTTCAAAGAAGAGTCTCCCATTCTCCTGACTAATTTGAGGTTAACTAAATTTGTTTCTCACCGGGAGACAGCTCGTCAGCTCAGCCCCCTGGAAGGATGGCTTCACCAGCTCTTGCAAGCCCCTGGGAAGCTGCGGTTTGGGGGTTTTGTCCCCAAGCAAGGCAGCAGGATGAAGTTGTGCTCCTAGGGTCTCCCTTAGCCCCGTGCCTGGCTGCTGGATCAGCTCACCACGTCCTCCTAAGCACTGCCACAGCTTTCTCCCCATGGAGGTCTCTAAAAACTGCCCCGGGACTTGAGTGAGGCAGGGACAGGCTGGTCCCCATGAGGGTGACGGTGTCCCTTAGGAGATGAGGGATCCACAAGACCCCAGAGCCATGCGGTGCAGCCACACTGCTTGCACTGTGCAGCAGGCTCCTGCCCCCCACCCCAAAGCTTGTCAAAGGAAGCCTGGGCTAATGACACTTTGCGTCACGGCGTAACGAAGTAATTGCACTTGACAGAGGTGCAGCCTGCCCACTTCCCGGCTACTTGTGGGCAGAGTTAATGTGGAACAGCATTATAGACCCAGGAGAGAGCTGGCTCGTGGAGAAAATGGATGGGTTCACTGCAAAGAGGGGACTGGTAGGGTGACCCGGGACAAGAGGGCTCCCCCAGGAGCCCCCTGTGCCGTGGAAGCCCCCAGCAGCAGCTCCCAGGAGGCAGCAGCAGGGTCAGCCTGCTGCCCCGAAACCTCCGTCCCCGCAGCAGCAGTGAGGGAATTAGCAGAATCAGCCAGCATTAATTATGCAGAGAATCATTTGCCGGTGAAATTAGAAAAAAAAAAAATCTAATTTAATCAAAATATAATTAATGAATAGTTAATTTAACAATTCCGCAGTGAAAACCCCCTGACCTCTAGAGCCATCCTGCCTGCACGCTGAGGCTGTTCATGGCTCCAGCCCATGGCACTGGTGGCACCGCATGACACCCCGTGCCCTCGTCCCCAGGCACGTCCCTGGGGACAAACACCTCCGAGCACCCAGCAGCAGCGATTCCTGGCCCCAACTGCCCAGTGGTATCTTTTCCTGAGAGGACTGGACCTTCTCCCACCCAGCCAGAGAGCCTTGTCCTGCTCTTGGGCACAGAAATGGCAACACAACAGTCGCCTCACTGCAGAGAGGACATTCTGCTGGGGGCAGCCTCAGCCTGGCTTTCGTGCCTTTTTTTTTCATCAGTCCCTAATGAGACGAAGAAGCACACTGTGTGAGTGCTGCCAGCGGTGCACTTTCAGCTCAGAGAGCTGAGAGAAGCTGCTCAGCGCCGGCTGGTGGGGTTGGACAGTGCTGAAACGCCGGCTCCCCAGCAGCCATCTCCAACGTGTCAAGACCAGAAAGGACAAATTGCAGCCTTTAGGAAAATAAGGAGGAAAAAAAAAAAAAGGAGATGGGTTACACAGACCACATTACCCTGAAAAACTCTGGTACCAATAAACATTTTCTTATAAGGAACTAGAAAGAAGACAATGAGCAGCAGCCAGGTAGAATTTCCTCCAGCAAAGGGAGCTGAGAGTAAATCTGACAAATGTGTCTGGAGGGATGTGGGCGAGGGGCTGCTGTCTGGGGAAGGGGACTCTCCAGATGGCTGCAAGGTCCCTTCTGTCCCTATCATCCATGCTTCTGCAGACTAATTCCTTAAATCAGCATCCTGGGGAAATTTGCCAGGCATCCAGCCAAGTCTGGAGCTGGAAGAGGGGCTGCAGCACGGTGTCCGTGGACAGGCATGCGCAGCATGCAGAAGGAAGCTGCTTTCTGCAGTAGGCCCCTGTAATTTCCCGCAGTAAACTCGAAGGAGCATTTTACAGCAGCCTCCTCCTGCAGTAGCAAAGCCCTGGCTCTGAGACACGAGGTGTGTGTAGGAGAGGTAGAGCATTCCGAAAGCAGAGCACCGCCAGGTGACCCTTCCTTCCCACGTGCTGTTTCACAACCCCTTCCTTCTACAGGCAGCCTCCTTGCTGCGGCAAAAAAAAATCAAAACTGCAGCTTTGCATCCCCCTCCATGTACAAAAATGGCCTAACTGGACAGGATCAGCTCTCCTGGCTACACCCACGGTGAGTGAAAAATCCTCACTCCAAGCTTCAAAGCATCTGGCGAGGCGGACCGTGCTCCATCTGGAGCCATTTCCCCATGCAGTGGACTATCTCCTACTCGAGGCATTACAAGAAAATAAATCAGAAGGAGATTAACATAAATATTGTTTGAAAGATTTAATCAGCTACAAATTGTAACGTTATGTTTCCAGCTTAATTAGCCCAAGCCTGGTTGTCTTTGCTCTGGATTGTGGAGTAGAGCAAGGGCTTGGAGAAGCAACACTGTGGGGCTCGGGTGGTGGTGGAGGAGGAAAACTTCTCCCTGGCCCACTCCAGCAGATGCCCTGGCCAGCAGGATCTCTGGGAGAGGCGTTTTTCTGCTGGAAACATGCTACTGCACAGGCCTCCCAGCCACTTTGGGACAGGGAGGATGCTCCAGCCTTGTAGATGTGCTTCTGCTGGACCCACCAAAGCGGGACTTGGCTGCTCTGCCTTCAGTGACATCCGTGGCTTGAGAGGCAAAGCACCCTCTGGACACAGAGGTAGAGATGTGAGAGACACAGCACCTCACCCTGGGCATGCCACTGATCCCAGCCTTGGCTTCCCCAAGGGAGAAGGACGTCCTGATGAGGAAGGGCCTCCCCGGCACCTTTGGGCTCTGATATGCTTACACCTGCCTACTCTTCTCCCTGCAATAAGCACACCCTGCTTCCTACAGCTCTCCAAACCACAAACTGAAGTCCTCAATAAAGGATGCTTCACTTACCCCACTGTGAAAATTCCCCCCTCTGCCATGAAGCAGCCACACAATTATTTTTAAAAAAGGGTATGAAGAGCCACAGCCCACTAACCACCAGCAACCGCAGGAAGAACCACGTCATGGCACACAGGGAAGCATTTGATAACCACCACTAGATAAGAGTGCAGGTGAGAAGCAAAAGTTTCCCAGCAACTGCCCACCCATCAGGCAAAACTGGTAACTCAGCCGAGGCTTCCGGACAAAAATCCAAAAATCCCTTACAATATTTTTCCCCAGTGGCTTCAGGAAGGATGGAATGGGTCAGACACTCAGCAGCACCACCCCTGCCCTCAAGGCAGACCAAGCTGCCTGGTGTGGTGTAGCTCACTGGAATCACTGCTAGATGAGCTCGAAGCAGCTCTGCTAATGAGGTTCTAAAGACGCATCTTTATTTGGAGGTCAAGCGCTAATTAAAATGCAAGCCGTGTATTTCCTGCTCCGAGCGCTCATGCCAATGTGATTTCAACAAGGGTTGCAAACACAAGAGTCACCCTGAATCTGCGCAGCTCCTGTGAATTGGCTTAGGAAAGTGTTTATAGTTCCACCTACAAGATCTAAATAGGCATCTCTCCTCACTCCAGCAGAAGCTGTTTGTCTGATCAGCATGTCCTAACTGGCGATGAGAGCATTTGCACGAGGCATCTCACCAAAATACAGCTCGCAGCGTCCCAGGAGTTTGCTGCCACCAGCTCCACGTCCCCCACAGCCCAGCTCCTGGCTCCGAGTCCTTGCAGAAAGTCCCCCAGCCCAGCAGCAGGGTCCCCATTTAGGGATGTGACAATTTAGGGGTGGAACACCACCAAACAAGCACCAAAACCAACGTCCTCATAGACTTCACCAGCAGCAGGACAAGGTCTGGCCTCGTGGGAGCCTCAGCTCAGCACAGAGCCAGCCCCTGAGGGGAAAGCCCCAGGTTTGGGGCTCAGTCTGAAAGCAGCTCTGTCCTGCACGCTCCTGCTGCTTAGCTGGTTTTTCTGTAAGGCCCACACCTGCCTTGGTCCAATTAACGTGATTTCTCAGTGTAAATAATAACGAGAGCAACTGCAAACCTTTTTCCTTGTTTCACACACGGAGCTGCATGGCAGGACCTCTGCTGGCAGCGGCAACTTGCCAGACTGGGACCCCTCAGGGCCATGCTTCTGCCCCCTGCCCAGACCCCAAATGTAACCACAGAGGGGTCCAGCAGCCGTGACGTGGGACTTTCCTCCCACAGCATTCAGGGACTGAGCGATCCCCATCCTCCCAGGAGCACGGGCTGCAGCTCTGGTTAAACCTCGTGCAATTACACTGCATCATCTGATCTCACGGGAAACTGCTGAGCTGTTCCCCAGCGAGGAGCAGCTCTTGCTCACATCCCAGCCCCCTCCACTCCCACCCCAAATCTGCCTGGCTTCGCTCTGTGCCGGTGCTGACAGTGCCCAAATGCTGACACAAAGGCTGGTGGGCGTTAGCTGGTGCTGAGTTCATCATCGTGACAGCTACGATGGCCTGCAGACACCCAGAAGCCAGAGGAAAGAAGTAATTTATAGAGCCTGCATTTCCTGCAAAGGAACAAGGTCACCAGCCGCTTCACCCATGCCTGACATGCGGCTCGTCCTCTTGATGCCAGTGGCACAAATAAAGCTGTCACTTGCAGGGACACTGAATGCCAGCAGCTTGGAATGAGCCACAAACAGAGGCACCAACCGATACAATACATTTCCCTTGTCTTCTGCCATCACAAAAGCCAAGCGAGGCCGTGTCAGACAGAGCAGGCTCCGGGCACCACAGAGCAGGCAGCAAAGCCAGCCCTCTTCAAGTGAGGTTGCTCTGCCTCATGGCTTTTCCTCAGCTCCTTGAAGACTTCCAGCTCTCTACCCAGCAGGACAGGGAGAGCAGCCCTTGGCGGCTGTGTGGGCATCGTGGATCTGCACCTGCTTTACTGTACTCAGCCTGTACTGTCTGTACTCAGCTCTGGTGAGGCCACACCTTGAGTCCTGTGTTTAATTTGGACCCCTCAGCACAAGAAGGCCGTCGAGGCCCTGCAGTGTG